CTACTTTCAAACAAGCTAAAGAAATCTCACAAATAATCTAAAACCATCACCTAGTTTTTAATTTAGCATTTTCCCTCTTTTAAGGTCACGTGACCATCTTTTATGCAAATTTATTCATCCAAAAAGTTAAGCACCCTAAATAAGGATATCCAAGGGCGGATCCAGGGTTTTTTTGAAGGGGCGTCTCAGGGGTAAATTTTGTGGGCAAAGGAATCCCAGTCGCATTTTTACCACAAGAAGACCATTTAACCTCAGGAATGACAGTAAACGGCCTGCGATTCTGGCGGCGATTCTGGCGGCGATTCTGGCGGCGATTCTGGCGGCGATTCTGGCGCGATAATCGCAGCGAATTCGAACGTGGTCGAAATTATAGCGGCAAATTTTTCACTGAAAGTACCAAAATCTTCTCTCTCCTCCCCACTCGGGCGGAAGTTTGCTCTGTTTCGTAAACATGGAGGCGCGAGATTGCAAATTTGTTAGTTTAAACGAGCCTTAACAGAACCTTAAATCTTGCGTGACCAGTGCTGAGTAAATACGTCAAGTCTTTCAAGGAAGACATATATATGTTCTCTAAATGATGTCTTCTTATACAGTCCGTAAATACAATGCTCTAAAGTTTCAAAAAAGACAGAATATATAATCAGGGCCTTTATTAGCGATTCAAGCATAGTTAATAGAGGGGAATGGTTAGGAAGGCCGGCACACTTCAAAGGGATAGGTTATTGTTTAGCTTTTTCGAGACAGGCGGTCACGTGTCAATGACCGTGCAATCACTCGAGGAGCATTCCAAAACAATATGGCGCAAGACAACGATCTTTTTCTGTTTGGAGATGATTTGGAAGCAATTCTTGAAGCTTTGGAGGCCGATGACAATGTTCATGAATACTTCGATGAAGCCGTGACTGAGGTGAGTCAAAAGAATCCACGATTCTTCGTATTATCCAGCAAAGTTTACTGAGTTTTGTGGTCGAATCGATCAACGAGCACTAGCTACAACCTAGCTAGGTACCGCGGAAAACTCAAATTTTTGTTTACCTTTACCAATCAAAGTTGTGAAAAATATACCAGTTGCAAATTGTAAACGACCTAAACAAACTGGTGTTCTATRAACTCTTAATATATTTAAGGAATGGGGTGCTGACGCTGTGATATCAGTATAACTAACGAAGCTATTTCGTTGTGTAGGTTCAAAAGGAAGACATCTTGTGTAGATTCTGCTCAAAGAAATGYAAAAGTTTGAGTGGTTTGAAAAGACATATGTCTTGTAAGCATCAAGATGATCTAGAAGATAATGAAACAAAGATTGATGAAGGCGAACAATTCAAATTTACTGCAGAAATACTTGCAAAGATGGTCGACGAAGTCAAACACCGTTTAATCAACAACAAGGTCTTCTCAAAGAGTATTATAGATGAGCTTAGCGCTTGGAAGGTCACAATCATAGCAGAAGAGTCGGCGGAATTCAACAATCAACAATTGATGAAAAATAAAAACCAAGAGAAGTTCTATACAATGTTCTATTCCACAGTGCCATTGAATTCAACAAGATATTTCACTGGATTGTCTARAAATGCTGCCACACTTCTATCTACTAAATTAGCTGATGTCATGTTAGCCTACAGTAAAGACAAATCTGTTACCACTGTCAAGAACTTTAAGATTGAACTAACTGATAAAGAAATGGCTGGATTGCAGTATGTTGGAGGGTATGTCCTGCACAAGCTACACGACAAACACAGCAAATCAAAATTGTGTGAATCTATTGCTAGCCAGCAGTCAATTGCTATACTGAAAGCTGGCAAAGAGAAACAGCAGATCATGACAGAAAATCATAAGCTTACCTCATCACTTAACCGTGGAGGACTGTGGGGCATCACAAAACCAGCACAAACAATATTTACTAGGACTGAAAAATACTTCAGATTCTTTATACATCTATCCTTTAACAAGGATTGACATTAGTGAAATAAGGTCCAAATCATCTAGTGATAGTGAAGTGCTAACAGCTTTTAACTGCATGAAGGCAAACTCAGAACTCAAAATAGATGATACGATAGCCAAGGATGTGCTACAGAATATAATTCACTTGTACATTAGAGTTCGATCTTTTTTGTTTGCTAAAGATGCTGTTCAGAAGTATAAATTGCAGACAAAACTAGTGAAGGATAAGGCACTTCGAAAACAGATCAGCAGGGCAACCAAAGACTATGAGCCTAGACAGAATTAGAATCTTGATTCTTTCCCTGCATCTATCGAACAAAAAGAAAATTGATAGCAATGGAGTATGTTACCAAAATTTTATTGATTTCATAATATGGAGGGTTTTTCTTTGATCGTTTTTCRCAACAAAACAAATTACTACTGTATTATGGATTGTAGTGAATACTAAAATTATTGAAATGTTAATGTTATTTATTGTACTTCACTAGCAGTTTTTTAACAGAACGTTTTCTACTGTTGTTATATTTACATTTGTGAACCTAGTTCAGACATTTCAACCACCATGCTTCATTCTCATTTACCAYGTATGTAGTGGTAACAAATCATAACAAATAAATAATATTATCTTTTGGAATATGGCTCATGGCCAGTATCTGAGATAGGCCCCACCATTAGTCTCATAATATGAATGTTGTTATTCTAAGTTCTAATAAAATATTGTTTATTGAAATTCAGTAAAGCTTTTATGACATCTCAAGCATCATCACACTATAAATTTCACTTTCAGAACAGTTAATTATAGAGTGGTTTTCAAAAACCTGTAAAATAAACTTTAGCGTAATACACTTAGCACAATACCCTTTTAATACACTTTACTGTCTACATTTTCTTTTGTGTTTTCAATGTATCACACTTTTCACACCTTAGTTATTACACTGTGTTTCACAGGTTTCTGAGAACCACTAACTACAACATTAAATTATTGAAGGCTAAGCCATTTTTGTAAGATTCCCTTCAATTGTGCTACCAGTAGTCTCTATTCCCTCTTTTTCTGTTTTGGTAATGGTTCATCGGTAACTTCTACCCATGCTTTCTTTTTGTCTTTTCTTCCTCGTGTATTCCCAGACTGACATGAAACACTTCTTTGGATACGAATGTTGTTGTCATTATAGCCAAACATCTTAAGATCTGGGTTGTCACTTCTTCTGCCAATTTTTCTTTGATTGCCAAAGTACTCCTCGATGGGATCTTGGCAGAATCTCTCTGTTAATACATACTCCATACCTTCATGTAGCAGGAACTTGGYTGCTTCAATAACTGAGTGGGTAGTTATTTGAAACCCCTCGTAGGTCTGCCATGACAGAAACATTCGATTTCTGGCATTCATGGTGAAGTTACCAGGTCTATTGAGTGTACTCTGCTTCCACTCCTTGAGGTATGTGAGAAATTCTCCAGCCAGCCAGGTAAATCTTGGATCTTCAGTAGAAGTAAAAGGAGCTACAAATGGTTTCCTCTTCCTTTCATGTTCATGTGTACTCCGTACATTCAAGCAATCAAAAAATGAGTCCACCATTTCACATAGCTTTGCAGTTCCTGCTGTATCAGGGGTTCCAAATGACTTCAGAACAGCTGCCACAGATGCACTCAATACCTATAGAGTATTAGTAGAGTATGAATTGAGTTGGATATGCTCAAATGT